ATACGCATACTCATATTGATACCGATATTGATACTAATATGTATACTAATAATACTTATACTCATACTCATAATGATATTAATACTAATATGTATATTAATACTTATACTCACACGCATATTAATATTGATACTCATATTGATATTGGTACTCATATTTATACCCATATTGATACTCATAGTTGTACAAATACATATTATACTAATATTGATACTCATATTCATACTGATATTAATATTGATACCCATATTGATACTTATACTGATATTGATGCTTCTATTGATACTCATACATATACTGATACTAATACTGATATTGATATTAATACCAATATTAATAATAATATATATACTCATACTCATACTCATACTCGTGCTCATGCTCATATTTATACTCATACGCATACTCATACTCATATTTATACACATTCTCCTACTCATATTCATACTCATAATCATACTTACACTCATTCACGTACATATACCCATACTCATACCTATAGTAATACTCATACTCATTACTACGTATATATACTAATATTGATACTAATATGTATATTTATATTGATACACTCATACAGATACTCATATTCATATTCATATTGATATTGATAATGATAATAATAAAGATACGAATATTGATACTACTATTGATTCTCATACTAATGACAATGCTAATAATGATGTTAATGCTACTAATAATACTCATATTAATTATAATACTAATTCTAATACCCATACTCATGATATTCATACTCATACTCATACTCGTAAGCATACTCATATCCGTGTTATATTGTACCACCATTATAATGTGATTTATTCAAATTAAAAATACAATGTTTTTTTAAATTTATACAATATTTATGCAAAAAAGTATTTATGTACTAACTAATAGGTTCGTAAAATAATTTTCTTAAATCATAAATTGATATGCAAATTAATTTTGTCAAAAACATATATTAAAAGAATGCAAGAATTATTAACAAAATTTAACGTCTTAGACTCTTAGTAAAAGTGCAAATAAATAAAATAGGTCAAATAATAAAATAATAGAATTGATTCGTATAAATGATTTATTCATGTAAAAAATTAATAAAAACATTATCAAAGTCATTTGACAGTATAATCCTATTACGGTTAAAATTTATAATAGATTAAAAAAAAATTAAAATAATAATACTTTGTATTAATTAATTTACTTATGAAATACTAAATGGAATAATTAATACAAATAATTTACTTATATATTACTTAATATAAAATAAAAATAAAAAATGCAGATTTGGTGGAAGTATAACCTTTATAATAAAAAGAATGTGTAATATATTAGGCATTAAAATATATCGAAATGATATTTAAAAATTAGGTTTTATAATTGGAATCTTGAGATTTTCAAATGCATTGATTAAAAAAAATGGATTAATTGTAAGAATATAAACTAAAACGATATTGAATAAAATAAAATAAAAAATAAAACAAAAACTGCGAGATAAAGTAGAGTAGTGCTCGGTTCATTTTTCAGTACAAATAAAAAACATATTTTCCTAATATAATTATTTGATATGTAAAACCAGAGTAAAATAATTCTATAGCATTCCCTTTTTTTTGAGGAAATTTTTCCATGTCATTCTTAGATGGCTTTTTTTTAATTCATATTATAAATAATAAATATAGATAACACATTCTAAAAAAAATATTCATAAACTAATTAGGTAACTGAAAAGAATTAATAAAGATTGACCATACTCAAAATCCTAATACATAATATAAATATTCAAATAATTCTAAAATATTTAAAAGAGTGTGACAAACAAATTAATGAGCAGTATATAATTATAACATTATTTAAAAGAATATGATAAAAAAAATTAGTTGAACAATAAATAATTATGAAAAAATTTAAGAGAATATGATAAAAAAAAATAATGAAAAGTGTAGAATTATTAGTAATTCTAACTTAGTTCACTTTTCCCGAAACTTTTCCATCAACAAAAATAATTTATTCTATTTTACCATTCATACAATACAAAAAATATATCAAAAAATTTCACCATACATACAATACTATAAACTCATTTAAGTATATAATAATTAGTACATATACGTAAATAGTATGATATTTAAATGAGGTTATTGCAATAAAAATATTGGACTAAGTGTATGTGTCATTGTGTGGGTTATTCCTATATTAACACAAAAATAAAAATCATTTTCAACGTAAATCATGTAAATCATTTCATTTCATATAAATCATTGTGTGGGTTATTTCATGTAAATTATTTTTCATTTAAAAAATGGAAAAAAATATATAAAAATTAATTCAAACACATTATTTAAATTTTATAAAAATTGAATGGATTTATTAAAAGATAAAAATGAAATAACAATGAATGGTAAATCGAATTCTATTTAGAAACCAATGTGGAAATGAAAGCAAAACCATAAAATAAAACAATGAATTTACAATTTTTACATGTATTGGAATTTGCTACTTTACAATTTGTACAGGGGATTTAAATAAATGTAAACAAATAAATATATGTAAATTTCCTGTACAAATTGCATGTTGCAAATTCTAATAGATGCAAATAATAAAATAACAATTTCAAATTCGATATAATCAAAAAATAACTGTGTGCATACAACCAAATGAAAAAAAAATGATTTAGTTTACAGGAATAAAAAAATTCGAAAAAAAAGATGAAGAAAACGACTAAATGAATAAGGAATACATTGTAATCAAAAGACAATATGAGAACAAAATGAAAGAAAATCCACGGCTTTCCTTTAAAATGAAACTATTAGCCTTCAAAATAATGGAAATGAACATATAAATATGATCCAAATTTATTGAAATAAAAATATAAAAAATAACATAAAATTAGAATTTTTATAAAAAATGAAAAATACAAATTTGGTGGAAGTATAATCTTTAATCTTTATATACCATTGGATTAAAAAAAATCAAATCATTATCTAAAAACATGATATTTCGAATTAATTTTGTGAAATTCTATAAATATAATATATTTCAAGGAATTAATACTAAAAAAATACATAGAAATACGAAAATAAAAACATAATATAAAAAAATTCGAAAATATATACATAATATAAATTAGGGTCAAAATACGCGTTGCAAAGAACACATTGTTTGGATTGAGCGCAAGCAATTTTTTTTATCTTCATAAAGTACGAACGACTTTATTTAATAAACTGCATGAAAACAATTAAAAAAGTATATTAAAATTAAAACCCAAAAGAAAGAAATACAAATAGTACTAATATGTATATATAAAAATAATTATGAATATACTATGCATATATACTTATAATAATCTATAAGAAATGATAAAAAAAAATGTAATATGAAACTGTATAATACTTTGTAATGGAATGGTGGTAGATAAAAATGAAATGAACATTGAGGGGTTTATATAGTATTGAACATTAACTTAATTCTATGAAAAATTTAAAAATTCAAAAGATTTATATATTAGTAAATGAAATCAAATCAAACAAATAAAGGAAACAACCCAAAAAAATAAAATAATAACTTGTAGAAAAAAATCTTGCAATAAAAAAAAAATTAAATATGAAGATATGATTTTTATTTTTTACCATTGAATTTTGAATTAAAGTGTAAATTAAATCAATCAAAGATGATATGAAGGAATCTTGGAATATTAAAGACTCCTTTGTATTGGTGATTTGATATTTTAAATATGTAATACATGATAATTTGAAATAGTAATTGACAAATATACTGCATAATCTACTGTATAATTCGAAATATACTATATATTAAATAATGTATTCGAAATATACTGACAAACATATTGCATTTAGATTGTTAAAATATACTGCATTTAAATTGTTAAAATATACTGCATTTAAATTGTTAAAATTTCAAATTTCAAAATATTGCATATTTATTAAATAGTATAATTATTTTTAATTTGAAATATGGTATGATAAAAATTATATACAAAAAATATTGTATATTTATTAAATAGTTCAATAAAAAATAAAACATTTTATTATTATTATTTTTAATGGAATGGATATTCGAATATTCCAAACTATCGAAAATTAAAAAAAAAAAAAACAACAACGTATTTCTTTATTTTAATATTTTAATATTTAAAAAAATATTTTTTTCTGAAAATTATTTGAATATTCGTAAAAAAATTGAGTTTCATGAATTTTTTCAATAAATATATTTTGAAATACTGAAAATTTAAATAAGATTTTTTTATTTCAAATTTAAAAAATATTAAATTTGGAAATAATATATATATACATGTGGTAATTATTAAATGAGTGTGCGAGTGTGAAATAGGAAATAACTTAAAAATATACCAAAATAAAATTGACAACTCACCAATTGAAGAATCCACCTCATCAATTGAACTCCAACTAAGCAATTTTGATAAATGACATCATGATTTGCCACATGTCAATCATTGAGGGCATAGATCCTCTTTTTATATTATATATAGATAATAAATGAAATAAATAAAGTAATTAATGTAGAGTTAATACTCTTTTAGAAACTAATTGATCAATATTCAAACATAATACCAATGAAGTGCAACAATACGTATAATTGGTCAATAGTCAGTATATTCAAATTTTGAAAACTAATTAGTTAATAAATTCAAATTTTATGAAATTTCTAATTACCCCTATAATTACGTATTTACCTCCATATTTACAATTACCTATTATATTTATATTCAATCAAATCAATCATTTCCAAATTGATCTTACGGTTATCATATTAGATGATTTCCTTACCATGTACGAATTATTAAATACTATTTTAATTTATCTATATTAATATATAGTTAATAGGTTGTGATCCTTCAGAAAACAGTGGCGTGGATGACCTTGGCACCCGATGACCTGAAAGAGAGAAAACCGGACTGATGCCGGAGTTAGCACTCCGACGATCAAGTCAGTGATGGTGTGATTACTGTATTTTTAAGGATTTTAGATTTGTTGCCTATCTCTTTAAGTGAAAGAAGAACTCCCTTTATATACCCTTCGACCCGGGACTCGAAGGGTCCGGGAATTCCGCGCTGATTGCAGATGGCAGTCGTCCCTCCCCGAGCGGCCCGGACGGCCGGGGTTATGATGACTACCCCAATAGGTCTGCTGACCTCGTCCGGTACTTCAGCCGTTGCGCTGCACCTGGTCATTCCGCCATAAATGCCACTGTCAGAACAATAAATGCGCCGTCCAGCATTTATGACCCTCCGACCTGTGAAAGCCCCTCGGGAGAGGAACTGGCTCCTTCGTGGATGGGCCCTCACGCCAACGGGTTGGGTGATCCTTTGGGCCGTTGGCACTGAAGAGCCCACCCTCTGATGGGCCTCAATAATTGGGTCCTTCATGATTGGGCCCCTGGGCCTGGACCGGGCTAGGGTAGTTCGGGTCCGGATCAACTAGTCCCCCACTCCGGGTTCTATCTCCGAGTTTAGGACCCGGAGTTTACTCGGTTTTATCCTACCTAAATCGGGCGACGTTCAATCAGCCGCGTCTTTTAAGTTAGCCGCCTAGTCTTCTGCACCTCCCTCACACAATCCTAGGCCCCTCCAGCCCACGCGGGGCTCCTCGTTTTCCGTGCGCCATCACTGCCGGCGGCTCTTCGACTTTATACCCTGCTTTATTTTTGAGAGACGTCTTCTCTTCTCACTTCTAATCTTCACACATCCCTTCACTCTCCCTCCCAACACCTTTCTTCCATTTATCGAGTGACTCCTGCCAGGTACATCCTTATTCCCTTTCCTTTGCTTATACTACGCTTGCCCTTCCCCTGATTGATTCACCCATGGTTTCTCAAAATACTTCCACCTCCTCTTCTTCGGAGAGGACTGGTTCTGCCGTCCCTTCCCCGGTCCCTCGGCGCGGTCGCCGGCGGCCGGCTCCCCGTAAAATTGTAGCCCCTTCCTCTTCTAGGGTAGGGAAGAAGAGAGTAGTGGAGAAGCCTACCCACTCCTTGGTCGATAAATTCGATCTTGAGGCCCTTTATGTCACCCAAGGGATGGATCCTTCTTTCCACCTTGTGGTACCTTCTCGCAATCAGACCCCTTCTAACCCCCCTCCGGGATACCTCACTTGGTACCTCGATCAATTTAAGGCCGGCCTATCGTTCCCTTTGCATCCCTTTTTCGTCGATGTTAGTCGCGTCTATAGAGTTCCTCTTCATTTATTTCATCCAAATGCCATAAAATTTATGTCATGTTTTTACATTGTCTGTGTGGGTACCGGGGTTGATCCACGTCCCGAGCTTTTCTTTTCCCTATTCACCCATAACCGGTCATCTTCAGGCTATTTCCATCTTTCGACCCGTATCGGTCGTCTTTTCGCTGGTCTTGTCACGAAGATCGATTCGTGGCAACGGCGTTTCTTTTTTGCCCGCCCACCATCTCCGTGGCCATTCGACCCCACACCCCCCACTAAGTCCCCCAAGCGTGCTGTCTTGGACGTGAATTTCGACGAGGAGACAGCCCGTCTCCTTGCTCGTGTTCGTCCTCGCGCTTGGAATGTAGAAAAGGTCGTCAGTACCACTCCCCTTTTTTCCCGTGCCGGTCTATGGCGTACCCCCTCACTCGATCGCCGCCCTTGGGGTATATCCCCCCTCTTCATCTTTACTCGTGCAGTGTTTTCTTTCCTTCTTCTCTATTATTATTATATATTTTTTTGTAATCTTACTAGCATTTTTGTTTCGGCAGCCGATATGATGCTTGATATGTTGATGGAGATGGCGGAGACGGAAAAGAAAATACTGAAGATCCGTTCACTTTTTTTGGGGGGGGGGGGAAAACCCCCCCCCCCCCCCCCCCTAAAAAAAAATTTTGGAAAATATTTTTGGGGGGGCGGGGGGGGCCCCCTTTTTGGTCAGTACCACTCCCCTTTTTTCCCGTGCCGGTCTATGGCGTACCCCCTCACTCGATCGCCGCCCTTGGGGTATATCCCCCCTCTTCATCTTTACTCGTGCAGTGTTTTCTTTCCTTCTTCTCTATTATTATTATATATTTTTTTGTAATCTTACTAGCATTTTTGTTTCGGCAGCCGATATGATGCTTGATATGTTGATGGAGATGGCGGAGACGGAAAAGAAAAATACTGAAGATCCGTTCACACAACCTCAGGAGGCCGGTGCTTCTGTTGTTCCCGGAGCATCCTCCCGTGGGGTTGAACCTCCTTCGCACAGTTCCAACTCTCCCTCTCGTGCCGCCCCGCCTTCCTCCAACTTGCAGCTGGCTATTCCTGAGGTCGTGATTGACCTCTTGGATAGTGAGGCCGAGGGACGCGACCCGGTGGCTTCTCTAGGCGGCAACCTAGGATTTGAGGAGGCTCAAGGGGAGTCGGCGGGGGCTAGCTCGAAGCGACCCCTGCCAAGTGACTCCACCCCACCGCCTAAGAGGGCCCGTCTCGTCCTGCCCTCGCTATTCTCCGCCGATGACTCCGAGGGGTCCGTAGACTTCGCTCTTCGTCAACTGGCCAGGGTTCAGGCCGCCGGGGATTCATCCTACTTGGGTAACCTACCCCACTCAACCCGTCGCGCTAAGCTGGCCCTTTGTTTGGCGCAGGTATATGTTTACTTCCCCTTGGTATCCGTGTTATCTTGTTAATGATATGATTATTTCTTTAAATATTATATTTTATATTTATATACCCCCTTTTTTTTTTTTTTTTTTTTTTTTCTTTTTTTTTTTTTTTTTTTTTAGGCGAGCTCCATCGTGGCCTCGGGTTTCGGTGAAGACGACCCTTCGGTTCACGATCAGGCAGTTCGTGAGCTATCCTTGCAAGCCGCCAATGCTCGTTCCGCTCTCGAACGAGCATCCTCCCGGATATATGCCTTGATGGCTGAGAACGGGTCACTGTCCCGGCAATGCGAGCTTGCCGAGGAGAAGCTTCAAGACGTCCAATCGAAGCTCTGCGAGACGAAGAGTGCCCTGGAGGGACAGATTGCGCGGGCGAACGAGGAGAGGGATGCGGCTGTTCGGCAGCTGGGCGTGAGGGAACAAGACTTCCAAGAGGAACTTTTACGCTGCCTTACCGCTGAGCGAAAGAAGTCCCTAGGAGAGCTTCTGGCTACTGCCGAGGGTTTGGCAGTTCTTGATCAGTACCGGGTCAAGTTATTCCAGAGGTATCCGCACACGAAGCTCTTCCTGAAGGATGCGTGTCCTATCGGCATGTATTATGTGAAGCAAACCATTGCCGCGTGTGAAGCCCTGGCCTCCGAGCAGCAGGCGGTCGTTCGTTATGAGCCTACGGTTGTCCTTGGCAAGATTAGCAGGACGCTTCCTTTATGGAAGGGCGATCCTCGTGAGCCGATCGATTATGCCTGGTGGCAGTCCATTACGGACGACCTAATCTCGTCCGTTGGTTCGTCCTCTACTTCCCGGCTTCCGGAGCCGCTGACCACTGGCCCGGCTGGCGCGGCGTCGTCGGCAATTGCCGGTCCTCACTCGACTCTTCCTCTGCCACCTATCCCTGCCGCCAATCCTGTTTCCGCCTCCTCCGCTCCTCTGTCCATTCCTTCTGTTGCTGCTGAAGTTGTTCATCGTTCTTCGTCTTCTTAATTTTAAACTCTTTTTTGTTGTTTTGTTGTTTTTTTTTTTTTTTTTTTTTTGCCTACGGGAAAAAACAAGTTTCCTTTGTTATTTCCCTTCTGACTATTACTTATCGTATTTTTGAGCTATCATTGATTATTCCCGTATTATCACTTTTTTGCCGTGCATGTTTATTATTTACCTCATGCTTTTACTCATTTATTTAGTAAGTTGCTAAATTTTTCATAAGTACGCCCCTTGCCATCATATTGTTGAATATTCCCGGAGCTCGAGCTCTCGGGTATTCGATCGGTGAGCTCGGGCTCTTATTTCGCACCGGGGAACGTACTTAGAAAAATTAGATTTTTCCTTAGCGTTCCCCTCAATCACATATCGTTGTTCGACCCGGAGCTCGAGCTCTCGGGTATTCGATCGGTGAGCTCGAGCTCTTATTTCGCACCGGGGAACGTACTTAGAAAAATTAGATTTTTCCTTAGCGTTCCCCTCAATCACATATCGTTGTTCGACCCGGAGCTCGAGCTCTCGGGTATTCGATCGGTGAGTTCGAGCTCTTATTTCGCACCGGGGAACGTACTTAGAAAAATTAGATTTTTCCTTAGCGTTCCCCTCAATCACATATCGTTGTTCGACCCGGAGCTCGAGCTCTCGGGTATTCGATCGGTGAGCTCGAGCTCTTATCTCTTGTAAGTTTTTAAGAAAGGAAGAGCAGTTTTCATTCATTTCGAGGAAACGTTTCAAAATCAAAACGAAAAGGGAGAAATATCAAAATGGAAAGTGGAGAACGTGCATCTACTAGGCAAAATACTTCTTCAGGTGCCCTATGTTCCATGGCCGAGGTAGTTTATTCCCGGTGGCTGTGGCCAGTTCGTACGCTCCTCCTTTTAATATCTTCTTGACGACGTAAGGTCCTTCCCAATTAGGCTCCATCTTCCCGGTGGCTTTCAGAGCGTCCGCCTGCTTGAGCACCAGGTCGCCGACTTGGAAGTGTCTTTTCCTTACCTTCCTATCATAGGCGTTTTTCATTCTTGCCTTGCTTACCTCCATCCTTATTGCAGCTTGCTCTCTTAACTCCTCTGCTAGGTCCAGGTCCGCTCTCAGCCGCTCCCCGTTGTCCACTTCGCTGAAGTTCTTAACTCGCCTCGAAGGTATTCCAACCTCTAGCGGTATTACTGCCTCGGAACCATGCACGAGCGAGAATGGGGTTTCCCCTGTAGCCTCCTTAGGGGACGTCCGGTATGCCCATAGGACCGAGTGCAGTTCATCCACCCAATTGCCCTTCGCTCGATCTAGTCGCTTTTTGATACTCTCAATTATAACCCGGTTTACTACCTCAACTTGGCCATTTGCTTGCGGATGTGCCACCGCCGCGTACCTCTGTCTGATGCCCAAACCCTTACACCACTTGGTGATCCGTGCTGAGTTAAATTGTGTGCCATTGTCCGATACAAGGTCCCTCGGCAACCCATACCTGCAGCATATGTTCTGCCATATGAATTTCATTATCTCCGTATCCGTGATCCTCGCCACTGCCTCCGCTTCCACCCATTTAGAGAAATAATCCACAGCGATCACTAAAAATTTCCTTTGCCCTGTTGCGAGCGGTAGAGGGCCTACTATGTCGATCCCCCACTGGGCGAACGGGCAAGGAGCATCCACGATTGTCATTTCCTCCCCGGGCGTGTGTATGCGGGGGCCATACCTTTGGCACTTGTCGCAGTTTTTCACAAATCGCGCCGCATCTTTTCTCATAGTGGGCCAAAAATACCCAGCTCTTAGCAGCCGCATCGTGAGCGTTCGACCACCGGCGTGATCTGCGCAGCAGCCCCCGTGGACTTCCCTGATCGCATTTGCCCCCTCCGTTTCGCTGAGGCATCTCAAGTGGGGCCTAGTGAACCCCCGTTTGTACAACGTCCCTTTATCCAAGCAAAAATTTCTCGCTTTCATTTCCAACTTACTCTGTTCCTTCCGACAGGGCAGCGTTTCTCCTTTCAGATACCCTATGATACCCTGACGCCAATCCGGTGCTAAGCTTGTTGTCGCTATCTCCGACATCTCTCCTGGCTGCCCCTCAAGGATCGTTATCTGTCTTGAAGAGCAGTCCACGGACATGCTCCCTACCCTTGCTAGGAAGTCCGCCTTTTCGTTCTCCTCCCTCGGAATTTGCCTCAGTACCACCTTGTGAAAGTTCTCCGCTAGCTTTCTTGCCTTACTGCGATATTCCTCCATTCGCCCATCCTTCGTCTCGAATACCCCGTTGAACTGCTGGACGACCAGCTGCGAGTCAGAGAATATCTCCAAAATCCTTGCTCCCGCGCCGGCGGCCAATTGCAGAGCATGCAGCAGGGCCTCGTACTCAGCCTCGTTGTTTGACGCTCGGAAGGTTAATCGGATAGCGTACTCATATTTATCTTCCTCGGGGCTCACCAGTAGTATTCCCGCCCCGCTCCCCGATTGGGTTGCGGACCCATCGATGAAGATTCTCCACTCCCCGCTTTCTTCCCCTTGTGTCATCCCTTGCAAAAAGTCTGCCAACACTTGCCCTTTAATAGCGGCCTGGGCTTCGTACCCGATGTCGAACTGCCCTAGTTCCACTGCCCATTTAACCATGCGGCCAGATACGTCCATCTTTCCCAACGTTCCCTTCAGAGGAAGGTTGGTTCGCACTATCACCTCGTGCGTTAAGAAGTAAGGCCTTAGTTTCCGTGCTGTGATCACAAGGGCCAACTCGGCCTTCTCAATCTCGGGATAACTCTTTTCGGCCCCTCTAAGCATTCGGCTTACGTAATAAACGGGATGCTGGGCCCCTTTCCTCTCGCTCAGTAGTACCGTGCTTATGGCCTGGCGACCCACCGCCAAGTACACATACAACCTTTCCCCGACCTCGGGTTTCACTAGTAGGGGTAGACGGGTTAGGGATTCTTTTAACTGCTCGAACGCACGGTCGGCATCCTCATCCCACTGGAAGCGATGGCCCTTGCGCAGGATCCTAAAGAATGGGTAGCTGGTATCGGCTGCTCGCGAGATAAAACGGCTTAACGCCGTGATCCTACCTGCCAATATCTGCACTTCTTTTACACTTCTAGGGGGTAGCATTTCCAGAATAGCCCGCACCTTTTCCGGGTTAGCTTCCACTCCTCGCTTAGTCACCACGTACCCTAAAAATTTCCCGGTCTCCACACCGAACGCGCACTTGGAGGGGTTGAGCTTCATTCCATACTTTCGCAGTGTTGCGAATGTCTCCTGTAGGTCGCTGATGTGTTCACTGACCTCCTTACTTTTGACCAACATATCATCTACGTATACTTCCATATTCCGTCCCAATTGGGTTCGGAACATATTGTCCACCAATTTCTGGTACGTTGCTCCTGCATTCTTTAAACCGAATGGCATTGCTACGTAACAGTACGTTCCTGTGGAAGTCACAAAACTGACCTTGGGCTGATCCTCCTCGGCTAGGCGAATCTGATGGTATCCTTGCGAGGCGTCCATCATGCTAAGCATCGCGCATCCGGCAGTTGAGTCCACGAGCTGATCGATCCTCGGCAATGGGTAGTGATCCTTTGGGCACGCTTGATTCAAGTCGCGGAAATCTATGCACATTCTCCATTTTCCTTCCGCCTTCTTTACTAGTACGGCGTTTGACAACCAAGTTGGGAACTGGATTTCCCTGATATGCCCCGCCTCCAATAACCTTTTTACCTCCTCGCCGATGATCTTATCCTTCTCTGCCCCAAAATGCCTCCTCTTCTGTTTCACAGGGCGAGCGTCGGGCCTCAGATTCAGCTTGTGTACCGCTACCGAGGGATCTATTCCGACCAGGTCTGCCGGGGACCAGGCAAACACGTCTTGATGGTCTCGTAGACATGCTATCAGTTCCTCGGCCGTTTCGCTATTCATTCTTGTTCCTATTTTGGTGACCCTCATAGGGTCACTTTCACTGAGGTGAACCACTCGCAATTCTTCCATGGGTTGGATGTGACCCTCCCGCTCGTCGTCCGGGTCCTCGCGGGCCCTTTTCCCTCCTGCCTTATCAAAGAGTTCCTTTCCCGGGCGCTCCTCACATCCGATGGGATTGATGCGTCGCTGCCCTCGTAGCGCTTGATTATAGCATCGCCTGGAAGTCTCCTGATCGCCCCGGACCTCTCCTACTCGGTCTAATACCGGGAATTTCATCTTCATGTGGAAAGTGGAGACGACCGCTTCAAACGAATTCATCGAAGGTCGCCCCATTATCATGTTGTACGTCGATGGTGCATCTATGATCAAGAATCTGACAGCCCTCGTGGCTCGGAGGGGCTCCGTTCCCAGAGACACAGGTAGTGTTACCTCGCCCATGGGTTGCACTACCTCTCCGGCGAAGCCAATGAGCGCCGTGTCCACCCTCCGGACTTCGAAGTTCAGTCTCATCTGCTTAAAACAGTCGTAGTAGATGATGTCTGCCGAGCTACCCGTATCCACTAATATCCTGGCCACATCATAGTTGGCTATCATAGCCGTGATGACCAACGCGTCGTTATGCGGCTGTTGTATTCCAGTCTCGTCTTGTACTCCGAACATGATCGGCGGGGCTATTGATACCCGGTACATCATGGCGAGCTCCCCCCTTAGTTCCTGCAACTCTCGCAGATGCGCCCGTCGGGACCTATTTGAATCCCCACCGATGGGGCCACCGAAAATCGTGTGAATGTAACTATTAGGCGGGCGGGCCTCCGTAGCTCCGCTCGCGTTGTTCGGAGGTCGGCTCGAGTTATCTCCTTTCTTGGTCTGCTTTATCCCACTGGGATTACCGCCAACGAATTCCGAAAGATTCTTAGTCCTAATCAGTCTTTCGATTTCGTCCCTTAAATGCTGGCATTCGTCCGTGGAATGACCATGCTCATTGTGGAACCTACAATAGGGCCCGGCGCTAGCGGGCCTTCGTGGAACCTCCGCGTAAGTTCGGGGCCACTTGAGTTTAGGGTGGTTGGCGATGGCAACTAGTATCTCCGAAGGGGCCGACGAGAGGGGTA